AGTGGCAGTGAGAAGAGGTGTGTCTGTGTGTGGTGGTGTGGTTCTGTGTCTGTGCCATTTGTCTTCGAAGTCGTCTTGGCTCCTCTTGCCGCCTCAGCCGCCATCGCCGCCGCCCCCGTCAGGCTTACCACCCAGTGCTGCATGTCCTTCTTCAGTGCAGTCAGTCGTCAGCTGTTCTTTCTTCTTGTTCTCTCTCTCCTTGTTCTCTCTCCTTGTTTGCGTCATTGCTGTTGTCAACTGTGTCTGTGGGCGCGACTGCGTAGCACCCGATTCGATTCCAGTGCTTTACCACTTTCCGTCTTTGTTTCTTGCTTTCCACTTGGTCACCACCACCACTCTCTACCATCATTACACACACCCACTGCATTCATTACAAGCACCTCTTTCTTTCTCTCTCTCTTTCTCTCTACTACCACTCCATGCCTCCTCCTCCTCTCCCTTTCTCTTCCCTTCCTCCCTCCCTCCATCGTGTGCCGATCTGCCTGACCATCCCAAATGATGAACCTGCACTTGCCAACCTGCAGAAAAGAACACTAACCACCTCCACCACCGCCCACATTTCCTCCTCCTCCCACCACCCACCATCTCTCAATCTTTCTCTTGCGTCTAGATTAGGATTGCACGCGGCCGAGCGCCAGTCGCCCGTCTAACCAAATTCTGCTACTTCCCACTAGCAACAAAATAAAGCAAAACCAGCGTTCGAGACCAGCGATGCTCTGCGTGATGTACAGATGTTATACCAAACCACAAACAAGAGTCGGCGGTGGCTTTCTTTGCCAACTCTTGTTTCTTTTTCTTCTCTAAAACTTGTCCCCTCTTTTCCAAGTGTGTTCAGCAAAGGCCGCTGTGTCGGGTTGCTGCGGCTTCTCTTCTTGTACAAAAAACTGATTCATTTGTCGGCTCCAGAACAAACAACAATTCATGTAGAGTAAAACGATAAAACAAACTTTATTAGCTCCGTCTATCTCTGAACATCTTGAGTTTATTATGAATATGCACTTTAGATTGAATCATATGGCATCAAAATGACTTATCTGCGGTTTGATGAACTTGGGGTACTGAAAACAGATGACGGAAAATTCATGAGAAATGAATATGAAATTGAACAAGAAAAACGCTACTTACCTCAAAGTTTGAGCCAATGAACTCTTTTTAATTGTCAATGTAATCTGTTGAAACCCATTTTGATTGCTCTGAACGGAGGTTTCACATGTCAAGTCCTTCACTAAAGCGTTCATCAGCGATTCGGGAAGAGCTGGTTTACAAGGTTTATGACTGTTTTCAAGTTTTCGTATACGCTCTTCAGTTTTTGCTTGTTCAATCTCTAAAAGTTTCTGAAATTGTTCCGTTTGCTTTGAAATTAGTTTCAATGTTTTTCTATGCTTTTCCTTGTCAATTTGACTAAAGAACGTCATCAGTTGATTTTGAACCTCTTGTAGGCTTTTGTCTGGGAAGTGAACTGTTTTTGGCTTTTCTGATGAGTTGGACGAACTGAAAAGTAACAACATTTTAAAACAAATAGTTACCAAAGAAAAATAATGCATTACGAACCATAATTTCGGGGTGATTGCGCTTTTGTCGATCATTAAAGAAATCCAGTTACTTTCACAGCCACCAGGATAGCTCATGGCGGATATTTCGCATTTGTTTTTCCATAAGTTAGCCACTAAAGTTTCCTTGACTGTGTCTGGAAGAGCTCGTTTAAAGCCGTTGTGATTCATTTTGATCTTCAGCAAATGGTTTTTGTTGCTCGTCTCTTCAATCTTCATATCATTATTGAGTTCTTTGATGTGTGTTGCAATCTGCTCTAGTGTGTTGGCACGCGTTTCAGCGTCCATTCGATCGAGGATTGTTGTAATTTTACTGATAACCTTCTGCGTGGAGTTGTCAGCCATGTTGAATTACTATAGTAAATNTCAATCTTCATATCATTATTGAGTTCTTTGATGTGTGTTGCAATCTGCTCTAGTGTGTTGGCACGCGTTTCAGCGTCCATTCGATCGAGGATTGTTGTAATTTTACTGATAACCTTCTGCGTGGAGTTGTCAGCCATGTTGAATTACTATAGTAAATGGTCATGAGCTAAAAACAACGAAATAAACACGGCGGTAAAATCAGTCTTCAAGACTTCGAGACAGCACAACAAAATTTAAAACCGACGCACCTGCGCAGTGGATCAACAACGGGTCTTTTCAGCAAAGGGCCTTCCTTAGAGGAAGTTACAAAAAGTACACGGAAAATCATTTTGCATTTTATCGGAAAATCATTGGTAATGAATCATTTTGATACATTTTGATAAGCTGATATTGTAAAAAAATTGCTTTTTATAAAATTAACAACAGGACTAATATGAAGAATAACCGTAAACAGAGAGTAGAACATAAATTGACAAAATATACAAATAGTACAAAATTCAATGTGTTTGAATCCTTTTTCCCAAGCTAAATCAACGTAAGTTGGAGCAATTTAGAGCAAGTGCTTGAACAAAAAGAGGTTCATCAATTTCCTTTAGATGATCGGGTGAGAATCTGTCCACGATGATTGAATGTAACAAATGATTTGGGTGTCGAGAAGACGAGATCCTGCTTCTGCCTGTCAAAGTCGTCGTCCGCGTAGATGACCTTGAACTGGCCGGAGATGGACACCACACCGTACATGGTGATCAGAAGGCTGACCACTGCCTGGGCGATGATGTCTGCAGGGAGGTGCCCGGTAAAGTCCTGCTCTGCCACCCGCAGGAAACTGCGGTACTGGGCGGCGGAAAAGGCGGCGTGAAGCAGCGAGCAGAAGCCCAAAACGAGAATAATCTTGCTGAGCATCGTGGTGGTAGATATTTTGGAGCACTGGTCGAGGCAATGATCGAAGTTTCAGAAATCGAGGAAGTCTTCTTCGCCGTCTTCAATGACTAGGCATCAACTTGTGTTTTGCTCACTCTTCTCGAAGAACAGCTGTACGACTGTACGGTTGAGCAGTCTGCAGGTAGATGGAGTCACCGTCGCCCTCGTTGGCTGAAAATCAAAACAAAGTTCTGGTGGTTGCAAAAGTTAAAGAGGCGTCATATTCATCTCAGATCGGCTGTTCCAAAAGAAGAAAAAATGCTTACCCGCGACGTTGAGCTGACTGAGGATTCACCTCATGAATTCCTGCTCTCTCGACATGCCAAGTTTCTGCACCACTACGTGGGCAACAAAGAGGAGAGCTACGAGCAGCTGATGGTAGAGTACCTGAAGATGAGTGGCATTTACTGGACCAACACGGCACTGCAGCTCATTGACTCGGAATTTAATCCAGGTGCGTACTTGATATTTGGTTGTTTTCAGTATTTACCAAAGAGTTTTTCTTTTTACAGAAGTCAAACAGGAGATTATTGAGCTGATCAAAGCCTGCTTCCATTCCAGCGGCGGAATCTCGCCCGCCGTGGGCCACGACCCTCACCTGCTGTACACGCTCAGTGCTATTCAGATTCTGGTTTCCTATGGCGTGAACCTCGATTCAAGCAACCCGGAGGAGAGCGTTATCGAAGTCGGCAAGACGGTGGAGTTCATTGCGGCACTGCAGAACGACGACGGCAGCTTCAACGGTGATCCCTGGGGCGAGGTGGACGTCCGCTTCTCCTTCTGTGCAATCGCCTCGCTGGCCCTCCTCAAGCGCCTGGACGCCATCAACCTCGACCGAGCGGTGGACTTTGTGATGCAGTGCTACAACGACATTGACGGCGCCTTTGGCTGTCGGCCCAACAGCGAGTCGCACTCCGGGCTGATCTACTGCTGCCTGGGCTCGCTCTCCATCGCCGGCCAGCTGCATCGCATCGACGCCGACCAGCTGGGCTGGTGGCTGGCAGAGCGCCAGCTTCTCTCCGGTGGCCTCAACGGCCGTCCGGAGAAGCTGCCCGACCTGTGCTACTCCTGGTGGGTGCTCTCCTCGCTGACCATCATCGGCCGCCTGCACTGGATCAACAAGGGCAAGCTGCTGCGCTTCATTCTCGCCTGTCAGGACGCGGAGACGGGCGGATTCGCCGACCGTCCCGGCAACATGGTCGATCCCTTTCACACCGTCTTTGGCATCGCCGGCCTGTCGCTGCTCAGTCACGAGTACCTGGACGACCTGCAGGCGGAGGATGCGGCGCAGGAAGGTGCTACTGGTGAAGGAGGAGGAGGAAGAGGAGGAGGAACCGCAGCCCCGGACTTTCCGGACGGCGACCAGCTGAAGAGGATAGACGTGAGCAAAATCAGCGAAGCCATTCGCAAGGTGAATCCAGTCTTCTGCATGCTGGACAGTGTCATTGAAAAGCGCGGCATTCGCACGCAACGACTCTCGGTGCTTTGATTTCTATCGCTCTTCGCTTGAGGGGCAGCATTAAACTGTTTTTTCTCTTTCTGCGCACAAACCTGTCCTCATCCTCCCGATCCTGATCCTGAGGATCCATCTGTGATATGCCCAAGCTGATCATCACTACAAGTGTCGTTTGGTCAGTTTCTCTCTCATGTTTCTGCCTAACTGTAAGTGCGTGTGAGGGAGAGTGAGTATTCGATTACTGCGCTGTACGGCGCGCAGTGGTACTGGTCGCGTCACCCCTAGCTACAACACACGCTCAATCACCACAGTGCACACTCATTCTCTGGTGGTATTTTTAGGCAGTGTCCTCCACCACCACCACCACAAGTGGTCTCATTTCTGCTGGCAACAGTGTGCTGAGGCATTCCCATCTTTCTGTGTTTCGCCTGCTGAGAATGGTCGCGTGCTCGAGTTGGCTGCCATCACACCTCCTCCTCCTTCAGTGCTATCACACATGTGACATCAGGGCACTGAACACATATTGAAAAAAATTCTACTTCACACTCTGCCAACAGAGACAGTTGTATTGCGTATTGCCATTAACATTCCGTCATTTTCTCTTCCAATCTGCACATCAACACATACATTATCATAACATTTCTCTGGGCAAAGTCAAACACTTGCCATCACCACCAGCTGCTTTCCATTCCCAGCCCACCATCATCATGACGACAGCCCCCGATGACGGCAGCTCTTCGCGTGCCCTGTTGACTTCCGCAAAGCAACTGGTGGCCGGGGGCGTCGGTGGAGTGTGCCTGGTGCTGGCCGGCCATCCAATGGACACCATCAAGGTACCATCAAATATTTTCTTATGAAAATTGTGCTTATCTTTTTCCCCTATGATGAAGGTGCGCATTCAGACGATGCCCACTCCGGTGGCGGGAGAGCGGCCCCAGTTTAGGGGCACCTTCGACTGCGTCAGCAAAACCTTCCGCAATGAGGGCATCCGGGGCTTCTACCGCGGCATGTTCGCGCCCCTCATCGCCGCCACGCCCATCAATGCCGTGTGCTTCTTCGGCTACGGCCTGGGAGTGCGCCTGCAGACGCACGGCTCGCCCACCGACGTGGACCGCCTGTCGTACGAGCAGCTGTACAAGGCGGGCATGCTCTCCGGCTTCTGTACGGCACTGATTAACGCCCCCGTGGAGCGAATCAAGTGCCTGCTGCAGATCGAGCAGGGCTCCGCCAGCAAGGCCAAGTACAAGAGCTTCTGGGACTGCACCACTAAGGTCTACCTCAACGGGGGCATCCGCTCCAGCTACCGAGGACTGCTGGCCACCTTTCTCCGGGATATTCCCTCCTCGGGGGCGTACTTTGCCGGCTACGAGTACCTGAAGAAGCACGGTCGGCAGTTCTTCTTCACGGAGAACACCACCGCCATCACCCTCATGGCGGGAGGCTTTGCCGGCATCTTCTACTGGAGCATTGGAATACCAGCCGACGTCATCAAGAGCAAGATTCAAACAGCTCCCGATGGAAAGTACTCCCACGGCTACCGGTCTGTGATCACGTCAGTACTGCAGAAGCAGGGCATCACTGGATTCTATCGAGGCGCCATACCAGTTTTTATTCGAGGTAAGCGCTCTGTTTCTGTTGCCCCTTTACCACTATTCGATGACATCTAACAACATACTTTTTCGCCCATCACAGCTTTCCCAGCCAATGCTGCCTGTTTTGTTGGCTACGAGACAACCATGAAACTACTGGACATTGTGATTTGATCGCTCAACTACTGACTCCTCCGACAGCACCCTGTACATAGAACTCTACATTACTCTCAACATCACCAATTGTGTTTCATTGAAGATATTCAATAAAAAACTGTTTCCGCTGTGTTAGATGAACCTATAAGTTGAAGTAGCGTCTGGATACTGGTCCTTCATTCTGGAGAAGTACTTCTGAGAGCGTTCGGCGTTTTCAGTCAGTGCCCTCTCTATCTGCACAGCATGTAGTTCGTGCTTGTGCAAGGCTTCCTCGTCACCGAAAGGGCCAATGCTTTTCAAGTGCAGCTGGTCAATGACGGCGTGGCAGCCAAGCTCCAGTCCGAGATCGCGAACCAGTGCTCGACAGGAAAATAAGCCATCAGAGATGATACGCATCTGCACGACTGCACCGTCCACTTTTAGAAGCTCGATTGAGTGACACTGCTTGATACGCAAAGTTGGATGTCTGCCTACTGCTGCTGCTGCTGCTGCTGCTGGTCTCTCCAAGTTGTTGTTGTCGTACTCGTGGTGGTTGTTGTTGTCGTTCCTCTCATCGAGCTCATCATCATCGTCGTTGTCTTCGCCACGATCACTATTTTTGTCATCAGCTGGATGGGTGATCTGCACGCCGTCGCCTACAGTCTGCAGCGCTGAATCGATGCTACTTGCTTGGCCAAATTGTCGCTCTTGAAGCAGAGCTGCCGGATACGATTGCTCAATGCTTCCGACGAATTTGCCCAGTGCACTTCTGATTGTCTCCACCGATAGGTGCCTGTACGGGTATTCATTGAGAACGGGAGAGCCACTGTAGTGGTCGTACGTCTGTCTCCCCAGAATCGCGCTGATAAGGAACTCGTGTTTCATGTAGCGCCGGTACTTGGCAATTAAAGTAGCGTGAAGGCCAAAGCCAACCGCCAAGATGCCCGTCATGTAGTGCTCAGGCCACAAAGGTGCGAAGTCTAAAAACAGTCTGCCGCGTTTGATGGCAGGACACTCAAAGTACAGTGACAGCTTTATCCACTGAGCCAGCTCGTGTTTGCTAGTGCCAGCGGCTTTGAACACTGGCAGTGTGCCTCGTTGAAATATCTTGGTGGCAATAGCAGGTCCTGCGTTGTTCATATTTGGTCTGAAGAATAAAATGGAGAGTTAAGATGGGTTTTCATTCTCAAAGCCGTACCTGCAAACTTGCGGCTGCGGGCTTGCCAAAAAAGAAATACGTTCTCTCCTTCTAATAGTAAATTTGGCGTTTTGACCAGTCACCGCAAGCTTACGCTGCTCCAGAACTGGTACAGCACAGAGAGTAGACGGAAGAAAAGGCCACTGTCGCTGAAGCGAGGCTCCTCTGTTGTTTTGAGTGGTGGCGAGTGTCGATAACTGATTGAAATGCAAAGTGACGACGACTTCTGCAGAGCGAACAGAGAAACTGCCCGATAAGCTAGAGAAACCGGTCCGAGAAGCACAATTTCATCCGTTATCAACTGAAGCACCCGATTGGTTTAAACACACCGCATTTTAGCCAAGCAAATCTTTGATAGGAAATATACTTAATCCTTTTCCAGTTGACATGTGTTTTGCATTTTCAAAATAAACAGTCAAAAAGTCGATAGCGCGATTGTGCCCAAACACTATCGATGCTGAATGAAAATTCAAATCCGATGCCATTTCAAGAATCTTTCGAAATAGCTTAAATTCTTTCGAATGGCGTTATTCTCGGCTCTCGGAAATGCACTTGTCAGATATTAATAACAATGTAATCTTTCCTTAATCTAACCTACTTTGCCCGTCCTCGCACGTCTAAGCAGATGAAGGTATTAGCAAAAAGAG